CTAGAGCTGTTTATTTACAGCATGATTTCTATTGTAATAAGCTTTGTTTGAGATAATTAATTTTTTTTTAATGATGGTCTTTTAACACCGGAGACAGGGACATATTTAGAGTTTCAGAACAAACAAGAGGAAGGAGCCTTCTGGAGCGGATTCTCTTAATTCACACACAAAAAACATTGTTTAACATATAAGCGTTTTATTAATATATACAAAACTAAAAACATTCGTGTAGAAAATTAAATGAACTAATACAAACTTCATGAATTATACTGATATCTCAACATTAATTTATCAAAATTTGCAAATTTATGTTTTTTTCCCTTTAATTACTTAGGACAGATATAACTAAATTAAACAATTTGGGTAAATCAGGAGCAGATCAAGCCTGAGCTTCATGAATTCAGGTGGGCCGAAACATTTGTTGACGAGGGATCACTTCCACTGGTGATTGGTAGACTCCTGCTGTACATGCTTCCCTGTGGAGTTTTTTCTTATTTGATGAATAAAGCCTGAATAAGCTCTAACACTTGTGTTTTTGGGAAGCGACGCTCATGTAACCCCTCTAGACACACCTTCTTTACGTCCTCTTTTACAGTGTCGAGGGAGATATAAGGTCCTGGTTTGTGCTTTTCTCGCTTCTTCAATCAAAGACACATCGTGGTACTGAAGAGTTTTTCTCTGGTGTTATCCTTCCCTCTTGTTCTACTCCAGACACACGCTTTCATGAAAGACGTCATTTAACAGCCCACATGTGCAAGAAATGCGATAAGCAATCCGACTGGCTGGTACGAAAATCTGCCAACCAATCTCAGGGCTTATATTATCAGGCCGACGGATCGGCCCATTTGTCTTTTTGGCTATTTTGCTGCTTGGCCGATAAATCGGCCGAGTCGCCTGCAAAGGGTTATTTCATTACAATACAGAACATGTTCCCAAATACAACAATAATCTATTACAGAGAACGAAGGTGAGCCGTGCCCCAAAGAAGAGGAAGTAGGAGTCCCCACATAGAAGACAGAAACAAGCAGTGGTCAAGGAAATGTCCTGGGGATACGACAAAGACAATGGTAAGTTAAAATGACGGGTTGGGTTATATATCTGGCGGGTCCTGTGTGTGAAATTACTTTCACATTTGTCCTTGGGCATACAGATGTTGTTGGTAATGAAAAAGCTGATAGAGTGGCAGGGGCCGCACTAATTAGAGATGGCTGGCCCATGGATCCCGCAGATATTGTCAATGAACTTGGAGAGATAAGACGTTCTGAGGATATAGGAAGCATTGTGTCCACATCAGTGTTAAAAATACAATAAATGGGAGTAAAGATCGGCACAGGTAAGCATGAGAAGCACACCGAACGCAGACGAAGTCCAGCATAGAACTGGCACTATTAACCGCGCGACGCTGATAAATATAAAGGTGAAAGTGATGTCGTTAGATGTGAACCAGACATTGAACATGGTTATAAACCATAAGTGCTCTGCCATCAGTACAGAGAGCCGATATAAACTGTCCGCCTGTGTCGCCGTCCGCACGAAACTCTGTAGCTACAGCGACGTTCCTCCATTTACCCCAGAGTGTTAACTCTGGTACCCATTACCTAGAGGCTGGGTGAACGCCAGAAACCGCCCGGCTTTTAACACCGGCCGTTGGCTGCAGCGAGTCACAGTTAGATTTGAAAGCGAGTCTCCTTTCGACTGCGCTAACGCGGCCCCTTTATAAAAATGATAAATATTATGAGGGTTGAATCTGAGCATCTGTGAATGTGTCCGGAGTGCTGTAAAGATAATCCACCTAGTAACTCTTAACTAAAGTTGAAATGTCGAGCACACAAACAATACATTTAACAAAGCAGTTTTTGTAATATCGTACGGACAAGAAGGTTAAGCTCAATTTCCAGTCCTTTCTAACATTGTATTTTTTTTTTATTTTTTTTTTTTTTTGGGAGGCCAAAATTACAAACCGAACCTGCAGAGTTGGTGGTGACAGCATTAGTTAACAAAAAAAAAAAAGGAAAGATCCCTTTCCACGCCTTTAGGCGCATCGGGCAAATGGGAAGAGCGCCCATATTTTTACAGACCATCAGCACTCGGTGGGTAATGTGGTCAGCATTACGCCGGCTGTCTTTACTTTCCCAGGACAGCCCATCCTGGTACATATTTTAGGCTGGGTCGCCCTGCGACGCCCCGTATCATGATAAAAATCCACGCAGCCAGCAGTGGGTTTCGATCGCGGTAGGCTGGATTTTAAGTCGGACTCGCAACGCCTAAGCCACAGACGCCGCGACAGCATTAGTTATGTTGCTGTAAATCAGTGGTTCTCAAACTATGGAATAAATGCTGTTCCTGGGTCCTAACTGGACCTGCCTGGACGTGTTTCTCCTATCATGTTTTTAAGTAAGTTAGAACACAGTGAGGTAAACCACACCTACTGGAGACAGTCGGATGTTTATTGCAGTTCCAACAACAATACGGTCCAGTCGGTAGTCTCGTTATCTAGTCGTTGTGAAGTTGGCTGACACAAAGTTTAGGTATGGCAGAAAACATCATTCGTCGAGCACACGAGTGCAGTCGAGTCTGGATAAGTAGAAGTTGAAGGGACCTAAGAAAATGCTTCCACTTATCAGAATTTCTACTTATCCAGACAGCACACACAGTAGAGACAATTGCCGGGGGTAAGCTTGTCATGTCGACTTAACCGAAATTCGACTTATCCGAGTTCGACTGAAGTATTTACCTTTCAGTCCAGGCTTCTCATTTTGACAAACATACATGGAGTCATCCGTTCTGTTAATTTGGCAACCGCTCGTTTCTCTGTATTGATTCAACCCTGCGGCTATTCCCTTGCTTTCCCGACGCAGACGACATTCATTTCAAAGACAATTCTTCCGCTCAGCACATTCTGCCCGCTTCCATTCCTGTCCAAAACCAACTGCCGTTCTCTCCTTTGCCCTTCCAAACCTTTGTTTCCTTTGCACGGAGTTCGGGCTGGTAACTATTCACTTCCCTACGTGACTATCTTTTATTTTGTGTAGTCCGTTTACTCACTGGCTTGTCAATCTGCCACTTCATAAGGGGGGTTCCTCGAAAATGCCCGCATACAACCTTCCATTGAGGCGACCCTTTAGTACAGTTCCCTCATGTTGTGGCGACGCCTAAACAATTATTTTGTTTATAACTTCAATTAATATGTGTTTTCGGATGGTCTTAGGCCACCCCTGTGAAAGGACCGTTCGACCCTTAACAAAGGGTCACGGCCCGCAGGCTGAGAACCGCTGCTCTAAATGCTCAGCCTCTAAAGCCTTCCTGCCTGCACCACAAAAGTGGTAATTACAGACAGTTGTAGTTGTGCTAATATGATCAAGGCGATGTTCCCTCATCTCTGTCTCACCCTGTGATAATATTGTAACAAAAACAGTTGAACCTCCCTCTATTTGTGCGTCATCCGATGATGATAATACTGTCAGGCAGATTGTTGAACCTCCATCTCTACTTCTCTACTCCACCTGGTGATAATACTGTCAGACAAACTGTTGAACCCCTATCTTTCTCTCTTGTTCTATGATGATAATGACAGACAGGCTGTTGATCTCCTAACTCTGTCTCGTCCTATGCTCATACTGTCAGACAAACTGTTAATTCTTTGTCTCACCCTGTGATGATACCGTCAGACAGACTGTTGATCTCCTAACTCTGTCTCGTCCTATGATAATACTGTTAGACAGACTGTTAATTCTCCATCTCTGTCTCACGCTGTGATGATACTGCCAGACAAGCTATTGATCTCCTAACTCTGTCTCACCCTATGATGATACCTTCAGACAGACTGTTTATTCTCCATCTCTGTCTCACCCTACGAAGATATTTTGAGACAGCGTACTAAACCTCCATCTCTGTCTCATGCTACCATGATACTATCTGACAGACTCCTCTCACTGTCGACAGTCAATGACTAACAACCTAGATATTTTTGACTCCTAGGTCCTGATACATGGCCAAACCTTTTTACTGCTGCTCGCGGACACAAGCAAAGTCCCGTGGACCTCAACACCAACTGGATCTGGTACGACCAGGAGCTGGAGAAGCGTCCCTTGGTCATTTCCTACCAGCAAGAGCCGTCCCTGTACATCGAAAACCCCGGCTTGTCGTTTAAGGCGCACATAACAGCGAATTCAAGTAAGTCTTTTACTATGGGGGAGTCGTCGTGGCGGAACGGCTAGACGCGCGCCGTGGATAAGAAGGTCGTGGGTTTGCTCCCTGAGGGAACTGGAATTTTCTTTTAAAATGACCTTGGCTCCCAGGTCGACCCAGCCTTGAGTGGGTACCGGGTGCGGTTCCCGGAAGTAGAGGCGGCCGGCATGATGCTGACCACATCACCCATGTTGTGCCGATTGGTCAATAAAAATATAGGTCTAGCCCTATCTGCCTTATACGCCTAAAGGCGTGGAAAAGGGTCCTTTACTTTTTTCAAACTTTTGCTATGGTCATTACGTAGCTGGTCTTTTGCAGATGTTGTGATTGTCTCCAGCACACAACGGATATACTCATGTATGCCTTACTGTTTTCTTGTGGGACTGCATGTCAGTCCTTCTGGCGACTCAGAGGCATCCACGAGACAACATGGAAAAATAAATGACCCGCCAGCTAAACAGACTAGTAGAAAACAATTAGATCATTCTCCAGTGGATCCCGGCTCACTGCGGCATACCAGGAAATGAGTTAGCAGACAGACTTGCCAAAAAATGGAACAAAGAAGAAACAACACACACATCCATTGTCGTTACCAGAAATCAGAACACTTATCAAGGCAAAATACAAGGACTTGTTGAGAAAACAAAATAACAGTAAACATCCACAACACCCCATCAGCAAACTCAACAGAAAACAGCAAACACTAATTTTTCGTCTACGAACACGATACTGCAGGCTAAACTACCACATGTATTTAAAAAAAAAAAAAAAGATTGTAAGTCCCCACTGTGTGCCTGTCAAACAGGACCACAAACACATGAGCACATTCTGCAGAACTGCCCACTCTGCCTACAACTTCGAAAAGACACCTGGCCTCAAAAGCAAAGTGTGCAGAGCAAGCTATGAGGAATCTTGAAGCACCTGCTACTGACATGCGAGTTCATAAAGGCAACCCACCTGATGGTCTGATATGAGCATACGAAACCTAACGCAAAGAACAAGAAGATGTATGTCTACGGAAGGTCTGGGATTGTAATCCACATTCGGTAGCGCTGTGATTTCGATCACTGGCGAGAGGGACAGTTAAGGCCGCTGTGATGTGTATACGGAGATACTCCGTACATCACCTCGGACGCCAGCAGTCTTTGCGCGGGTTTTACCGATCCCTGTGCAAGTCCCCTGTCACACGTCCCCGTCGTGCGCCACAAATAATGCTCACCTTTGTGACCTGAACTGAGCAGGCAGGCGATCGTGGAGATGGATATCCCCAGAGATGGGTAGCGTCCATTCTGGTTGAGCGGTGTTGTGCATGACGTGAGGATTCCATGGGTGAGCCCAGAACCAGAACGTCATGTTTCGGCTCCTGGAAATGTATGGTATCTTTCAATTTCAGACAGTGTTTTACTGGTCCATATCTGGTGGGGTTGCACTTCAGTTTCTCGTAAAAGATGACTGTTATGTTAATGCATTAGTATTTCCAGTATTACGAGCAGGTAAAAACTTTAAAAGCAAAACGCACATTTAAATATTCATACACAAATGTACAAAACAAACTTGTCCCCAGCTATCAGTGGCGGACCATTAGGGAACGACACGTACAGATTGATTCAGTTCCACTTTCACTGGGGTCCCGACGACGCCTCTGGCAGTGAGCACACAGTCAACGAGCGTAGTTACCCATGCGAGGTAAGTGCTGGACCCCCCCCCCCCCCCCCAATGTACTTGTATAGCAACAAAAGCTAAATACAAAATATGACTAGAAAGCTCAACAGATAGAATTGAAAAGACGCACAAAAACACAGCTGAACGCTTTGGCCAAAGTCTTTATCAACGGAGTACTAAATACAGCATAAACTGTGACTGGAAAACTCAACGGACAAGATAACAGGGCAAATATAAAATCAAGGTCAATATAAAACCAAGAAGTACTTAAGCGGCAAAAATGTGAATAAGAAGGGCTTTAATACGAAACCAAACAAGTAAGAAAGCGTCTGTGAAAAGAGGGCGAAAATGGGGGGGGGGGGGGGGGTGGAGAGAGTTATAAATAAGTTAAATAATAGATGAAGTAAAAAATAATTCAATAAAGCTGTGTTGGATACTAATCCCTCCAGGTCTAAGAACGCAAAAACTATGAATAGTACGATTTTCTAATGAATCGCGTCTGGTTTAATCACCGGAGCAAGATTTAATAGCAGTGACTGAGATATCGTTTTCGCATTGGTGGTCAGAACTACTGAAATTGAGGGAGATGTTTAAGAGCCTTATTATAAATGTCAGCAAGATGTTCACGAGAGCGATCTGTTAGCTTCCAACCGGTTTCTCCTATATATGCATTTTTACATATTTTGCAGATGACGGCATAAATTAGGTCTCCGGTCATGTCGTGTCTGTCTAACCCCCTTCGATACATTGGAATATCATCTGCAAATGTCAAAGTTCACCCCTGTCCAGCGAGTTGTTGTTGTTGTTGTGTGTGTGTGCCAGACTTTCAGGTTTTTAGAGTATCACGAATCTTTGGACCCAGCAAAGCTGCAAACAGCGGGGAATGGAAAGTGAGAAGCAACAACGAAATTCATAATCATTGATAACTGGGCCATGAAAGCTAATATACTGAAATGGTTGGGGCATACTGAAAAAATGTCAGATAACAGAGAAGTAAAAACTGTATACACCAGGAAGATGAATGGTCGTAGACCACTAGGCAGACTAATAAGACGGTGGAGAGCTAATGTCCAGACAGACCTGCAAACACTTGGTGTCATCAGCTAGAAAGATAAGAAGAGGAGGAAGAAGAAGAAGAAGAAGAAGAAGAAGAAGAAGAAGAAGAAGAAGAGAAGGAGGAAGAAAGAAGAAGAAGAAGAAGAAGAAGAAGAAGAAGAAAGAAGAAGAAGAAGAAGAAGAAGAAGAAAGAAGAAGAAGAAGAAGAAGAAGAAGAAGAAGAAGAAGAAGAAGAAGAAGAAGAAGAAGAAGAAGAAGAAGAAGAAGAAGAAGAGAAGAAGAAGAAGAAGAAGAAGAAGAAGAAGAAGAAGAAGAAGAAGAAGAAGAAGAAGAAGAAGAAGAAGAAGAAGAAGAAGAAGAAGAAGAAGAAGAAGAAGAAGAAGAAGAAGAAGAAGAAGAAGAAGAAGAAGAAGAAGAAGAAGAAGAAGAAGAAGAAGAAGAAGAAGAAGAAGAAGAAGAAGAAGAAGAAGAGGAAGAAGAAGAAGAAGAGAAGAAGAAGAAGAAGAAGAAGAAGAAGAAGAAGAAGAAGAAGAAGAAGAAGAAGAAGAAGAAGAAGAAGAAGAAGAAGAAGAAGAAGAAGAAGAAGAAGAAGAAGAAGAAGAAGAAGAAGAAGAAGAAGAAGAAGAAGAAGAAGAAGTAGAAGAAGAAGAAGAGAAAGAAGAAGAAGAAGAAGAAGAAGAAGAAGAAGAAGAAGAAGAAGAAGAAGAAGAAGAAGAGGAGGAAGAAGAAGAAGAAGAAGAAGTGTGCCAGACGTGCTGTATACATGTTGAACAATAAGATGATAATGGTAACCTATTCAAAATACCAGGGCAAGTGCGTGTTGGATCTGATTTCCACGTTCCCGAACAAAATACCATTGTCCTTTACCATGTGGCCCCATCTAATTAGCTAACCACGGGTTCACGCCGCAGTCCAACACACACTGCATAATATGTGTGACGTCAACGCCGTTATAGGCGTCACCTTTTCCACAAAGCCATTATCAAATATTGTTTCTTTGACCAATAAGCAACCGCCAAATGTCATTATTTTTGTGACAGACACAAGACGTCCATCACAAAGCAACCCCCAAATGTCATTGTTTTTGTCTTCCAACCATTTGTCGTTCATTACAAAGCCACCATCAAATGTCATTGTTTCGCTGATAAACGTATGTTATTCAACACCACCACCTAGTGTCACTGTTTTTCTGACAACCATATTTTGTACACCGCAAAGCCACCATCAAATGTCACTGTCTTTCTGAGAACCATATATTATTGTTCATCATAATGCTGCCAATATATGTCACTGTTTTTTCTCACAACCATATATTATTATTCACCACAAAACCACCATTAGATGTCACTGTTTTTCTCACATCCATATATTATTGTTCACCACAAAACCACCATTAAAAGTCAGTTTTTCTCACAACCATATATTATTGTTCATCACAAAACCACCATTAAAATTCACAGTTTTTCTCACATCCATATATTATTGTTCATCACAAAACCACCATTAAAAGTCACAGTTTTTCTCACAACCACATATTATTGTTCACCACAAAACCACCATTAAAAGTCACAGTTTTTCTCACAACCATATACTATTTTTTACCAAAAAAGCCACAATTAAAAGTCACAGTTTTTCTGACAACCATATATTATTGTTCATCACAAAGCCACCAATAAATATCACTGTTTTTCTTACAACCATATATTAATGTTTAACACAAAGCCACCATTTAAAGTCACAGTTTTTCTCACAACCAAATATTATTGTTCACCACAAAGCCACCAATAAATGCCACTGTTTTCTGACAACCATATACTATTGTTCAGCACAAAGCCACCATCAAATGTCACTGTTTTCCCAACAGCTGCACCTGGTCCACTATAATGCCACTAAGTACAAGAGTTTTGCTGAAGCTGTTTCCCAGAGCGACGGCCTTGCAGTCATTGGAGTTTTCATTAAGGTATGAGGTTTTGAAGTTTGAGGTTTTGGACAACAAATTATCATCATGGCGCAAGGGTAGTAACGCATAAGTGCTCCGTTTTTCTTCTAACTAAATTCTGAAAAAGCTCAGCACTGTGCACAAACACTGTAGCACCAGCGAGGATCCTGAAATACTTGAGGTAGATTTTAAACTCCAAATTGTGTTCTGGCATCGTCGTTAGGCTACTCTTTTCGATTTCCAACTGCCAAGGTAAAACTATTGGTGTCTATATCAATGGCTTATATGCCATACGTCTCTACAGTACTGTCCAGGCTTTGTGCTATGGAGAGGAAAAACTTACTCTGTCGTGAATTAAGGATGGGTAAAATATAGGTAGGTAGTTGAACTCCACAAGGACATCACACAAGCGATAAACACCCGGTGACACTGTTACCATGCTGATGAGCGTCACCAATGGAGAGATCCCAGAAACCCCGTTCAGAGGTTAGGCGATATTTATGGCCCGGCTATATATAGGGCACCATGGGTGAAACCAGGGTGTGGCTTCAAAATAACCAAAAATTGCGTCCCACATGGGGACGACTTCAGGATAACTGATAGGTAGAAAACGTCGACGCCGACCTCTTCTACGATATAAAGATTTGTGCAAACAGGACAAGAATGATACACGTACTGAGGCGGACTCGTGGGAACAAAATGTCATTAAACGTGTTGTGCGGAGGTGCATACCAGAAGGGGAATGAGAGTGAAGTAAAAACGGATCGTAGAAAGGATGAGAGCTGAATGTCGAAACACAAATGTTGACAACAAGTATCTCGACATCAAAAGCTATAATTGTGTAAGACTTTTCTCAACGCGGACAGGTATTGCTAGTCACACTCGCCATCGCCATGGTTTAGTCCCATGTGCCCTCATATAACACTATCGTTTGGAAAGACGGAAAGGTGCCAGTGAATATGCTGTGTCTATGTGCTATGTCTATAAACCTGTATGTGGTGCGGTATGCGATTTATTGCGTGTGCAGCTACGAAACTGTTGCAACTGCTGCTTCATTTGATGAAAGTACTGCATTTTTATTGCAGGACTGTCTGTGCTAGCACTTCTGACGTCTACCTTATGCATTTATACATTGTGTAGGCTTTACTGAAACTTCAATACGTCCGTATTTGACAGTATCTAAAAAAAAAAAAAAAAGTGGACTCGTTCAACCTGCCACTTTGGATTGGATGTATTTGAGTTCATTGCTCCTTGCGGCTTCTGTTGTTTTCTGTTGTTGCGGCGCCTGTCGTTCATGCTACAGTTGAAGGTGTTGTTTACCACGGTTTCTTGGCTGGTAGTCCAGCTCGTCGTCACTGAGTGCCCCAGGACCCACCAAGCACGCCATCTCGAACCCTAAAAATTATGCTGAGCCAACACACAAGGCCCTTTTTGGGGTCCCATAGTTAACATCTTTTTTTTTTTCGTTTGCTTCATACTCACACTGTAGTCTGTCTAATTTTTTGTTAGTTCCACGAAAGTCCCCATACGGACTGCATATGTACACACTAGCTCACTTTCCAACAATGAACCAAAGGATCAGGATGTGGAGGGCTCGGGCATACCTCAAAATATGTGCTGATAAGAAACACCCACTGCATCAAGCGCTTTTTAGTGAAAAGGGCGACAGACTGAAGAGGGGAAAATCGTGGCTAGGTCGGGCAGAAGATGTTATTAGGCAAATATGCAGCCTAACCGACATCATACCTGGTGCAGAATGGATACCTGTGCCTCAGGCGTTTATTTGTACATTTTCCTGTATTGTCACACTCAACAGGCGATGTAGAGAAGAGAATCCTGTTGCTGTTAATGCAGAGGTCAACGCTCTCATCGGTGAAAATTCAGACGAAGCAGATGCACTAATCTATACAGACGGATCAGTTATACGCCAAAGAAGAAGCGCATGGGCATTTACAGCACGCTCAGCGGGCAGAACAGTCAAAGAAGCCAACGGCGCCTTCTCCATGACAACCAGCAGCATGACGATGGCGGTGATGGCAGTGACGCAAGCGTTTGCCTGGCTTGAAACACAAAAATACACCCGCATATGTATACTCAGTGATTCAATGAGTATGATCCGGAGGGTTCAGGCAGGTTCAGTGCGAAGACAATGGCTTAAATCAGTTCAGAAGTCCACTGTGCGAGGAGTCACCTTTATTTTTGTTCCGGGACACGCAGGCGTCGATGGAAATGAAAGAGCTGACAGGTTGGCTGGATCCGCTATCACTACCGACGGTCGGCCTATGGATCATGCTGATATTATCAATGCCCTCAGAGAAATGGGAAGGATAGAGGACTTTGGTGGCAGTGAATCCACATCACTCGCCAGAATGGCAGACTTGGGAATTAAGATCGGCACAGCAAAAAACGAGACGCACACCGGACACGTCAGAAGACTTGTTAATCAACATAGAACTGGTACTATTAGCCATCGGACGTTGGGATTCATACTGAGGGGAGGATCTGAGCACCTATGGACATGTCCGGAGTGCAATGATGATAACCCAACTAACTAACTAACTAACTAACTAACTAACTAACTAACTAACTAACTAACTAACTAACTAACTAACTAACTAACTAACTAACTAACTAACTAACTAACTAACTAACTAACTAACTAACTAACACTAGCTCACTTCTGACTGGTCGAGCTTCAGTCACCCGACCTTCGCCCACAGCTACGGGGGTGTTCGGCAATGCCGTTGATATCGCGTGTTGTATATTTAGGCACGCCTGCGCTCTTAACACTAAAATAACATTTAAAAACTGGGTCTAACACACAACCTCCCTAGAGAGTGCTGCAACCTATGTCACTGGCATTCTCTTTCTCGGAAGAAAAACGCAAATGCGAGAGGGAAACAACATAGCGGCAACTCCCCCCACCTCTCTTTCCCCCCCCCCCCCCCCCCCCCGACGTCAGACGTCTAAAAAATTTATGATTGGAACTTGACCTAGTTTGTTTGGGGAGATTATCATGGAACTGACCTTTTTTTTTTTTTTCTCTATAAAGGACAGCGATGGACTTTTATGTGTGGTTTTCGTGGACGCGTCGGCTCTGTGGCTAAGTCGATGCGAACGCTTCGTAATGCAGGGATGCCGGTTTCGATCCGAGCTGTAGGCCATGCGCCTTGCGTTGGTTTCGACAATGGTATCAAGAAAGCCGACCGTCCAGAAGCAATAGCAAACTACTGGACGTAAATTTGCCTAGAAAAACCACAACAGCCAGGGGCTGTTGGGGTTGGTTCTGCAACGTCCTGTAAAGGATACGCAACTAACCTTTCGTAGACGCAGGAACGGGGCAACTACGGGGTGACCTGTTTGCTATGACGCTCGAACTGCCCAAGCCGGCTCCAGCTAACGGGCTATGCTGCTGACGTCATCGTGTCGGGCTAGCGATGCAATAACGCAGCGGTTCTAAAACTAAATGCCGAGGCACTCTGGGGAGCCGTGAGCTTATGCCAGGGAGGCCGCGGCAATAATCAAGAAAAGTCAGCTAAAAATTGTGAGATTATTAAAGAAGGCATGTAGATACTTAAAAGTTTAAATGTAATTTATCTTCCCTCGCCAGTGTTGAAAATAGTTTATTTCCTGTTTGAGAACCTCTGCGTTAACGCGTCGTTAGCCCGACCCGGTGACGTCAGCAGCACGACCCGTCAGCTGGAGCCGGTCGTGAGCGGCCATTACCTGATAAGCTGATGTGCGTGCCTGCGTTTATGGATTCGGCGTTTGCGAGCGCACTTAGTAATTCAGAGATGCTGAGTTCGATGCCAGCTGCGGGCGATTTGGCAGCAGACAGTGGTGAACTGATTCACAAATGTATCGACATCTGGCTGTTCAGTAAGTAATGGCTAAATACCGAAAGTAAAATTAACTAGTATATCCAAAACAGCCAATTAACCCAGCTAACTGTCCATTATACTGACCATTATACTGACCATTATGTTCAACAGACTGGCCCACGTGACCACGAAGGCTTCAAAGTCATCTCGGACAACGCTCAAAAGGTCAAGTGTAGAGGGAACAAGCTCAACACTGGGGTGCCCTTCAACCCGGAAGTACTTCTGCCAGGTAATACGTCAACACCAACGCCTGTCGTTAGGGCGGTCCTTATCATGTCTGGGGCAGTCGCCGTGGTGTAGCAGCTAGACGCTCGCCTGTGGGTCTGAAGATCGGGGGTTCAAATCCGAATGAAGCCGGACTATTTTATTTCGAAGAATGACCTTGGCTTCCAGCTCGACATAGCCTTGAGTAGGTAACAGGTAAAGTCATGGGAAGTAACGGCGGCCGCGTGATATTAACGACATGATTAACCGTGTGCTGACTGGTCTATAAAATACAGTTCTTACCCTATGTGCCCAAAACGCAAGAAGTCGTAGGAAAGGGAGGTTTAATTTCTTTATTTAACAGTAAGAAGAAAGTAAACGCATACAATAATCATTTAAAACTTCCATCAACGACAAACTGCATTTATGGTGGCGAGTGTTGGCTTTGGCACCTCTAGCAACTGTCATATGTATTTGCTGCGTGCGTATATTTCTGGATTGTTCCAGGACTAATTGTTTGTTCAATGCCTGGCATATGATATCACAAAGTCTAGTTTAAGAATGCAGGTGGATGTAGTCACTGCTGCTGCCTTCCGCTGTCTTAAGGATCAGCTGTACACACATACCGTCATTGTAACTGACTCACAGAGCATGTTCAGAAAGGCGGAAACAGGCATGCTCCATGCAGAGTGGCAAGCATCACTTCAAAGATTCCAGGGTAGCTAGCATCTTTTTCTCCAGGTCATTCGGTGTGTTGGGAAACGAGCAGGCAGACAGACTGGCCGGTTCGGCACTACTTGGTGGTGCACTTATGTATAACAAGCTGGATGTTTTGAGGGCCTTTTGGGAGTGAGTGAACGGGGCCGAGGCATAAATAGATCTTTACAATCTGAGGAGAATGGCCCTGCGAAGAGTCACAAGGGGATCTGCTTGACACTCAGGGAAAAGGCGAGACGGATATACAATCAGACAAACTGGCACAATCGGAATTTCAACTATTCGCTTGCTGCTGAAGATAGGAAAGGAGCGCTTATGGGGGTGTCCTGAGTGCTGTGATATCGATTCATAATTGAACATTTAACATTCAACATTGTTTTTTCGTACATGTTACTCATTCTTGCATAATGTCTGACCCAGGAGTTGGCAACATACGACATAGCTACAATGTCTGCCTCAATCATTTCGACACATCCGACTGAAGTAAATGCCCATAAGTCGTAATCTGAGACATGCTTGCTAGACATCATCATCATGCTGCTGAAGATGGGGATGGAGCGCTTATGGGGGTGTCCCGAGTGCTGTGATGTCGATTCCTAATTCAACCAACATTCAACATTGTTTGTTCATTAGTTTTTCAAATGCGACAGTGGGGGAACATTTGATTTGATTTACACTGGCACAGGAATAGAATAAGTATGAGGAAACCCAAATAATATGAAGCTGAAACCTTGACAAAGAGCAAGACTAAGAATAAGACAAAGATATTAACTCTACCAGAACTAAGGCCCTGAAACTAACTGTCCCCTATACGTGGGCTCCAGTTCATTAAAGCGAAAAATCAACATGGTGCACACAAATATTAGTTACATGCAAACAAGTGGTTAGAATAAAACGAAACTTGAAGACGTGGTAGAAAACAGGTTTACCTTTCATCATTGAGATTCAGATCTGTATTTGGTAATACCAAATTCCTTGTCCAACCTTTATAACCACCTCGATCTTCCCCATTGGCTGTTTGATGGATGGACCCGCCCCCTTCTCTTACTATCAATTTAGCTCTAGTTCTACAAGGTCCGACAAGTAAGTAATGAGACTGATTTGATTATGGCCAAGAAATAAATGCCACATACAAAGCAAAGCTTGGAATCTAAGGAGGCAACATTCATCTAATGATCTGGCATTTTTTTCATCTCCACTCGATAAGCAGACAACAAACAAGCCGCCATTTTGTTTAACTAGTCAGAGATGCCTGGTTACGTAATCAGCAAAAAGCAAAAAGCTAACATTAAATTCTTTTTAAAACTCAGAAAAAAGTGCCATTGAAACAGTTAAATTGATTCAACAAGTTTATGGGGATACTTGTTTATCTCGTACACAAATTTTCAGGTGGTATTCACGATTCAAAAGTGGTGTAGAAATGTTTACTAATGCACCCAGACCTGGACGCCAAATTTATGTTCGTAATGATGAACTCATTGCAAAAGTCAGAGAACGGATATAAAAAGATAATTGTTTTACTGTTAAGATGATGGCGAGTGAATCTGGTGTTAATAGAGAGACCATTCATACAATTTTAGTGCAAGATTTTGGCAAGAAAAAAAGTTACTTGCCGGTTTGTACCATATTCGTTGTTTGATGACCAAAAAACATAAGTGGGTTGAGTACCCAAGAGACATAATCAGAACAAGAATTTTTTGCCCCAAAAGAAGTGTGTGTTCTCAGCCTTTCACCCCATTTCCTAGATTTGTCTCCCTGTGATTATTTTATTTTCCCAAAATTGAAGTTTTGATTAAAAGGACGCTTTTAAAACTATTTTGATGACATCCAAAGGGCCGTAACATCGTCTTTAAAAGTCATAACAACAAAAAACTACATAGGATAGGTCGTTCCAGTGTTTGTTAGATGGTGCCACTTGCTGTATCAATGCACAAGGGGCTTACTTTGAATCAGATACAGGTTATATCTTCAACAGTTGATTATTTTAATTATGATGGAATTAGTCTCATTACCTAATTGTCGGACCTTGTAGAAGGTTGAAGATTTCTCCACATCACTCGAGCTCTCACTGATTGTGTCACTTAAACTGGAAACGTATTCTTTTTGAAATTCTGACTCCTCAGAGATTGAATCAACCAAAGTATCAATCACCTGTTGGATTGTGAAAAGCCTAGAGCTACTTCCCTTTCCTTTTGAAGTGCTTGGTTCATCAGCTGCTTCCTTGTGAATTTTCAGAATTTGTTAACGCTAAACCACAAAAAGTCAATCCGAACACACAGGGGCAGCCATTTTCATTGACTGATCACGAGGTTTGACTACTACGATTGGTTGGTTATTTTTAGTTTATGATGCATTGTTAGGAAATTCCCGGAAAAGCGGTACAGTGAGTTAGTTAGTTAGTTAGTTAGTTGGGTTATCATCTTTGCACTCCGGACATGTCCATAGTTGCTCAGATCCTCCCCTCAGTATGAATCCCAACGTCCGATGGCTAATAGTACCAGTTCTATGTTGATTAACAAGTCTTCTGACGTGTCCGGTGTGCGTCTCGTTTTTTGCTGTGCCGATCTTAATTCCCAAGTCTGCCATTCTGGCGAGTGATGTGGATTCACTGCCACCAAAGTCCTCTATCCTTCCCATTTCTCTGAGGGCATTGATAATATCAGCATGATCCATAGGCCGACCGTCGGTAGTGATAGCGGATCCAGCCAACCTGTCAGCTCTTTCATTTCCATCGACGCCTGCGTGTCCCGGAACAAAAATAAAGGTGACTCCTCGCACAGTGGACTTCTGAATTGATTCAAGCCATTGTCTTCGCACTGAACCTGCCTGAACCCTCCGGATCATACTCATTGAATCACTGAGTATACATACGCGGGTGTATTTTTGTGTTTCAAGCCAGGGAGGGGTACAGTGAGTGGTCTGGTAGAATGTTCAATAGGCAAATAAAAGAATTAAATAGTAATATTACAGTACGATACAAGATTATTTCCACGGTATTGTTACATCGGGCAAATGGTGAACGTACATGTGGGAAGGAACAGTTTGCGATCCATGACTTCATAGGCAGCGATGACTAGTGTCATTCCGGTGTAAAAGCTCTTTAATGTCATCGATCTATTTCTCCCAGTGCGGCCTCTAGCTTTCATTTAAGATCTCTACATATATAGCGCCTGCGTTGTTTACTACTAGCTGTATTGTTGCTAAATGGCCCAACTATTTGACATGTTTCTCCTGAATTTGTTGCATGATGGTGTCACTACACTTTGTTTAATGATATCCTTTCTAAGTTTTTCTCGGATGGTTACGGTGGCGCTTGTTTCAGGCCTCTCATTTCACATGTGTCAATTGTATGTAAACTAGCCTTTGGTTATGTCCACTTGGGGCAATGGTAGTCCAGTGTTGGTATGAATATGCGATAATAGTAACGTTGGTCTCCCCACGCCTACCCTATATACACACTAGCTCACTTCTGATTGGTGGTTCCTGAACAAGTCACCTTCGCACAAGGTTACGTGGCTGTTCCACCGTTGATATAGCGTGTTGTATATTTCATCACGCCAGCGCTTTTGACACTCCAAAACACGGAGAAACTGGTCCTAACACAACCCCCACCCCAGGAAGTGCTGCAACCTATATCACAGCCATTCTCTTTATCAGAATGAAAACTTAAATCCAAGACATCACAAAAAAAGCTAAAAACAGAGCAGTAACCTTCAGTAAAGACGACCAGCCCAACAAACTTGTGAATGAAAAGTGACCTACTCTTTGTGGGGAGATTAACGTAAATCTAACCGAATATGCTGTTTATAATCTGTTTCTCGGATCTCATATGTATGTTTGGATATCTTAATAAGGGTGTCAGTTGGTATATAAGCGCAACGTCTCGTTGGCATCTTGTTTCTATTTTCTTGTCAATTGTTATACAATTGTTATACAATTGTTATACAATTGACAGCTGGCAAATATAATCTAATATGGTGAGATACCGGAAGTTAGACGCTCTCTCATGGTGGCCAGGAAAAAAACCCACTTCAAGGACAGATACAAGTATCATTTAAAGCCCTTAGTTTGAGGTTTTGAACAACGGATCAACATCGTGGCACACGGGTAGTAACTCATAAGCGCTCCGTTCTTCTTCTAACTCTAGTCCGAAGAAGCTTAGCACAGTGCGCAGGCTCTCTGTAGCACCAGCGAGGATCCTGAAATACTTTGGGTAGATTTTTAACTTAAAATTTTGCCCGGGCAGCCCCGTTAGGCAACTCTTTTAGATTTCAACTTTCAAGGGATTTTTCATGTGCGCGACACTGCACACGGGCGTCCGATCTGACTACCCAGAGACCAGGGGGAATTACTAGTAGTCCAAGCCAAGGTGAAAAAATATTCTAGCTTTTACGGGGATTGAACCCGGAACCTCTATCACTCGGGGCGGAGACTATGCCTCGAGACCACGCAGCCCCCTATCGGTTCCCAAATATAATCTTCTACGGTGAGATATAGGAAGTTAATCGCTCTCATACTGACCACAAAAGGGCAGCCAACTGTACTATTTAAAGCCATCAGTATAAACCCGGACACTTGGGAGCTACGGCAGAAGGCGGGACTACCTGCGAACGTCTGTCCAAAGAGTGGAAGTGACCTGCAAGGTTTCTAGGAAAAAAGGCATCTGAACAGCGCAGGTGGGCTAAAGAGACCCGTACTACACGCCCTTTACCTATTGATACTGTTCCCTGCCCCCATTGTCCTAGATCCTTCTTGGCTCGGATTGGACTTTCAAGTCACCTTCGGACTCACAGACAATTAAGCACAGTTTAATGGCAAGCGAAAGAAAGAGTGGTTTATGAAGTCGTTCTCTCGTGGGATGCAATTGTTTGTTATTTTGAAACCCCACCCTGGCTTTTGTCGGGGGCTATGAATATAGCCGGGCAATAAATATGGCCTAGACATAGATATGGCGTAATGGCTGAAAGGGGTTTGTACGACCTCTCCACGGGTGATCTTCATCCACATGGTGGCACTTTGTAAGTTGTTTATCGCTCGTCTGACAAATGCATACATGACACCAATAGTATATGTCGAAAGTCATATGATACCGGTCTATTGTGACAACAAATGTATGAACATCTCAGCTGTGACCAAACTGTATGCTTGTCTTTCACCAGGGGATACAACCAAGTACTGGACTTATGAAGGTTCTCTAACGACTCCACCATGCAATGAAAGCGTCATCTGGATTGTTCTTCAACAGGAGATCACTGTTTCCACGGGGCAGGTAATGACACAGCAGAAGGAATATTTGCTGACAATGTTTAGTGTTTTATGTGTTCTTAGAGGGGTTTCGCATCTTATCAAATGTCCAGTGTGTATAGGGTTAGAGTTATAAGTTAGATTATCTTCACATAACTCCGGACACATCCATAGGCGCTCAGATTCCTCTCTCAACATATTCATCAGCGTCGCTCAGTTAATAGAACTGGTCCTATGTTGGTTAACAAAACTTTGTGTGCGTCCGGTGTGCTTCTCATGCTTGGTGATGCCTATCTTTACTCACAATTCCAGTATTCTTAGCAGTGATGTAGACACGTTGCTTTCAAAATTCTTAGAACGTCCTATCTCTCTCTCTCTCTCTCTAAAAAAGTTTAAATCGTTAGATATGAACCAGCGTCATTGCACTCGGTTATAAGTGCTGTGCCACCAGTACAGACAGCTGATCAGAAACTGTCCGCCTGTTCGCCGTCCGCACGTAACTCTGTAGCTACAGCGACGTTCCTCCATTTACCCCAGAGTGTCACTCTGATACCCATTTCCTAGAGGCTGGGTCAACCCCGGGAGCCGCCCGGTTTCGAACACAGACCGTGGGCTGCAGCGAGTCGATGCTGGATTTGAAAGCGAGCCTCCTATCGACTGCGCTAACGCTACTCGTCCTATCTCTCTAAGGACAATTACAATGTCTACGTGATTCATGTCAATTAATGCAGCACCTATCAGTCTATCAGCTCTTTCGTTACCAACAACACCTGCATGCCCTGGGACGAATATGAAGGTAACTGCACACAAAGGAGAGTTTTGCAACGACTCAAGCCACTGTCTGCGTAACCAACCTGCCTCGACCCGCCGGATCATACTCAAAGAATCACTCAGCATACACACGCTCGGGAATAGTCCTGTGATTCTAGCCACATGAAAGCTTGTTTCACCGCCATCACTTCCATCGTCATGCTGCTGGTAGTCATGGAGAAGGCATTGCTGGTTCTTGAACTCTTTTGCCTGAAAAGCGAGCTTTTAATGCCATGCACTCTTATGTCCCTATATAGCGGACTCGTCTGTTAAGATCACCACATCTGTGTCATCTGACTTATCACCGATAGGCGCGCATACCTCAGCACTGACAGCAGCTGGATTCTGCTCCCGACAATTCCTATGGAGCGTCACTACACAGGAGAATGCGAGATTGTGTGCTTTAGACGCTGGTATCAAATATGCAGCCTAACCGACATCATACCTGGTGCAGAATGGATACCTGTGCTTCAGGCGTTTATTTGTACATTTTCCTGTATTGCCACACTCAACAGGCGATGTAGAGAAGAGAATCCTGTTGCTGTTAATGCAGAGGTCAACGCTCTCATCGGTGAAAATTCAGACGAAGCAGATGCACTAATCTATACAGACGGATCCGTTATACGCCAAAGAAGAAGCGCATGGGCATTTACAGCACGCTCAGCGGGCAGAACAGTCAAAGAAGCCAACGGCGCCTTCTCCATGACAACCAGCAGCATGACGATGGAGGTGATGGCAGTGACGCAAGCGCTTGCCTGGCCTGAAACACAAAAATACACCCGCGTGTGTATACTCAGTTATTCAATGAGTATGATCCGGAGGGTTCAGGCAGGTTCAGTGCGAAGACAATGGCTTGAATCATTACAGAAGTCCACTGTCCGTGGAGTCACCTTTATTTTTGTTCCGGGACACGCAGTCGTCGATGGAAATGAAAGAGCTGACAGGTTGGCTGGATCCGTTATCACTACCGACGGTCAGCCTATGGATCATGCTGATATTATCAATGCCCTCAGAGAAATGGGAAGGATAGAGGACTTTGGTGGCAGTGAATCAACATCACTCGCCAGAATGGCAGACTTGGGAATTAAGATCGGCACAGCAAAAAACGAGACGCACACCAGACACACCAGAAGACTTGTTAATCAACATAGAACTGGTACTATTAGCCATCAGACGTTGGGGATTAAACTGAGGGAAGGATCTGAGCACCTATGGACATGTCCGGAGTGCAATGATGATAACCCAACTAATTAACTAACTAACTAATCTATTCTTCACCTGGATAGATACCTGTAAGGCTGCAAACCTTCATGATGTCATCCTCTGCCATACCCAGCCATGATTTGCCCGTTTCACCCTATTGCCCTTTTTCTTGAAGTGCATGTTGTGCAAAAGGTGCTCAGATCTGAGCTTATCTTGAGGTTTGACCGAACCCTCCAGATCTTGATCCTTTAGTTCATGGTAGGGAAGTCAAGAAGGTACCTCATTGCTTCACAAGAGGTGTCTCCAGTACACCCCAAACCCATGGTGTATAACTTGCTTCAGTCACATGCAAGCAATTCTTCAGACGACAACGTGACTACTGGGTTCCTGCAGAAGAGCAAGGGGAGGCCAACGAAAACAGGAGCACCACAATAAGCCAGACACATGTAATAAGTAGGGGGGCTGCGTGGTCTCAATGCATGATGTCGAGTGCTAGGGTTCCTGGTTTCAATCCGGGGTAAAGGGCTGGGATTTCCCCCCGCGGACTTGGACTTCTAGTAAATACCCCTGGTCTCTGGGCAGTAAGATAGGACGCCCGTGTGTATTGTAGCCCACGGGCATATCTACCCAAAGTATTTCAGGATCTTTGACGCTGCTACTGACCCCGTGAACTGTGCTGAGCTTTCTAGGACTCAGACTTGAGTTAGAGGAAAAACAGAGCACTTATGGGTTACTAGCGTGTACCGTGATGTTGATCCGTTGTTCAAACCTCAAACCTCAAACAAGTAATAAGTTCACAAGCATAATGTATCTAGCACAGGATGCATGTTCTCGCGACACCACAAGCACTACTTAAGAACTCTACAATGTACTACACCATGCCTAATATGATCTTATAGTGCGACCAGTCTCTTCTTTATTATAAATGGACACATTGCGACGAAGATGAACTGGCGATCAGTGATGTGCAGTCATATTTCTCTAACGGTTCTCCCTTAAGAGACCCCGTCACCTGAGGGCCCAAGAGAGATACGCCACTTGGTGAAAAAGAATCCAGACCTCCCGTCTGCTACCCAGTCACTCACTAAATTATCACCGATCAACTTCCAGCTAACCAACTTTCCTGATACCTCTCCATCACAATTCCACTATGGCCAACATAAACCATGCTAAGTATGATCTTATAGTGCAATCAATCTCTTGTTTTTAATGAACAGACACACTGCGACGAAGCTGAACTGGTTATCAATGCTTTACTATCAGTCCGCTACTCCTGCCAATTCACCCACAGCGGTAGTCTCCAAAACACGGACGAAACACCCTAGTCAACTATGTACAAGGTCGCTGCTACGGGCGACTGACCCCCAATCTCGCAAATACACCTACGTGATATGCAGTCAGACTCCTCTGACGGTTCTGCCTAATAAGACCCTGTTACCCTAGGGCCCAGGGTAGATGCATCACTTGGTGAAAAAGAATCCAGACCTTCTGTCTACTACCCAGTCACTCATTGAAGTATCACCGATCAACCTTCAGTTAACCAGCTTCTCTGATACCTCGCCTTTCCAATTCCAGTCTGACCATCACAAATCACGCCACCACATCACTTTCTGTAGCACTTAAGACACCCCGTCAACCAGAGAGTCACATAGCCGTAACTGTGCCATACCACACACTGGACCGGCAACAAGTCCATTCTATAAAACCCCTAATCAGTTTTTCGTACAGTTCACATGCAGGCTCCAGTAGAATGACACATATCAAAACTAGCACACAACAAGGTCCTTGTGTCCATTTGACTTGGACTATTCGCACACACGTCCACTTCTTAGACTGCTGAAAGCTGACTAACCCAAGTACCACGCACCCCTGCCAACAGAGATCAGCTACACGTGGATCTCACATTCAGTAACATTGTGGTGCCCCTGCTTTGCATGGTCTCCACGAGTACATTGTGGTAAGCAGAAAGTCCGTGCTTCAAATGACGGCACGAAATACTTGTGGCCGGTGGAGTAAGCGAGGAAAAGCCTGAGCTAGCCTTGTGGTCAGTTGATCATCACTAGTCGTAGAAGACGGTTGTATTAGGAGAAAAGATAGTCCTTATGTCGTGCGTGTGATCATTCATTCATTCATTCAGTAGCATGTCCCTCGCGGAACCTCGCTGCCATAACAACCCTCCGGAAAACCTTCCTATCCTGAGCAAGATGTCCTGCGTCTGATACACCCATCTGGAGATCATCTGCCACATCCTGCACCCATCTTCTCCTTGGCCTTCCTCTTCCTCTCTTCCCAGGCATATACCCCTCCATTATTGTTCTCTCTAGACTTCCATGACGTTTCAAGTGACCAAAATATTTCAATTTTCTTTGTTTTATTGTCTTTACTAGCCAACCCTCTACAATATTCAGCTTTTGAAGTATATTTTTATTGTTATGGATTCTTGGCAAAATTTGCAGAAGGTAGTTTGCCGTTGCTTTCCTCCTGAGCAGTGACTATACTAGTCGGCGGCCATAGCCATTGTCTCTACTGATGAGATCATCTGCCTATCGCCGCAGAGTGCAGACCATAACCAACAATGCCTGTCGGCTGCTCTTACACTCCATCCACCACCTGCTTCCATGGCTTCACGTAACCCTGATTGGGGGGCTAAACGGGTTAAATGTCGCGAGCGAAAGAAGTCTGAACAATTGTGGAAACATGTCGATTAAATGTAACTGAATAAACTGATGGTATGTACAACGCTCAAAAGGTCAAGTGTAAAGGAAACAAACCCAACACTGTGGTGCCCTTTAACCCGCGAGTACTTCTGCCAGGTAATACGTCAACACCAACGTCTGTCGTTAGGGGTGTCCTTATCATGTAGTGTTTGTGTTATCAACCCTAGACGTTAGAGCAGTGCCAGTTATGTTGCAGTAATCATCCAGAGAGTGAACCATGGCGAAAGCAGATATGCCGTGAGACAAGGTACATGTCGAGTGACATCGGCTATTACAAGGTTCATTCCAAACATGTTGATTTTTAATACCATAATGGATTGTTTTCTTTTATTTCATCCAATCTTAGTAACTCTGAGATTTCGTGGGTTCAGTTTTATACTTTGTGACAAAAACTACAACTTGTTTTTGTTTTGTTTGTTTAGTTGCAAGCCCTCAGAAATCTCTGCTGCGATGAGTGTGGCTCCAAACGCATTCCTGCCAATTACAGGCCTCCTCTTCCATTAGGGACAAGAAAAATTGCTGCCTCATTCCCACAGTGAAAATGAGATCAATTTGTATTAGTTAGTTATTTCAGAAATAGTTTATTAGATATAGATGGGTATACGTGTCTTAGTGTTAAAGAATATGTTCAGTAGTAGTTAGCTAATGAATAATTGAGAAGAAGAGATAGAACAGAAAAAGGAAAGCTTAAACAAGAGAAAAAGACGAGGAGAAAAAAGAGGAGGAAAATAATAATAACAATAATAAAATAATACGAAGAAAAAAGAAGAAGAAGAAGAAGAAGAAGAAGAAGAAGAAAAGAAGAAGAAGAAGAAGAAGAAGAAGAAGAAGAAGAAAAAGAAGAAGAAGAAGAAGAAGAAGAAGAAGAAGAAGAAGAAGAAGAAGAAGAAGAAGAAGAAGAAGAAGAAGAAGAAGAAGAAGAAGAAGAAGAAGAAGAAGAAGAAGCAAAAGCAGAAGCAAAAGCAGAAGAAGAAGAAGAAGAAGAAGAAGAAGAAGAAGAAGAAGAAGAAGAAGAAGAAGAAGAAGAAGAAGAAGAAGAAGAAGAAGAAGAAGAAGAAGAAGAAGAAGAAGAAGAAGAAGAAGAAGAAGAAGAAGAAGAAGAAGAAGAAGAAGAAGAAGAAGAAGAAGAAGAAGAAGAAGAAGAAGAAGAAGAAAAAGAAGAAAGAAGAAGAAGAAGAAGAAGAAGAAGAAGAAGAAGAAGAAGAAGAAGAAGAAGAAGAAGAAGAAGAAGAAAGAAGAAGAAGAAGAAGAAGAAGAAGAAGAAGAAGAAGAAGAAGAAGAAGAAGAAGAAGAAGAAGAAGAAGAAGAAGAAAGAAGAAGAAGAAGAAGAAGAAGAAGAAGAAGAAGAAGAAGAAGAAGAAGAAGAAGAAGAAGAAGAAGAAGAAGAAGAAGAAGAAGAAGAAGAAGAAGAAGAAGAAGAAGAAGAAGAAGAAGAAGAAGAAGAAGAAGAAGAAGAAGAAGAAATATAAGTATAAGAGGTGGAGAAGGAGAAAAATGAGTAGCATCTAGAAAGAGAACGAATGATCTTTCATTCAGCAAAGCAAACTGGGCTTCATAAGCACTCCTTAAAATAAAATAAAAAGGTTTAAAACATGAAGATTAAAAGGACGAGGAAGAGAAGACGGGGAAAAAAGGGCAGGGGGAGAATCTGGAAGAAGAACAGAAAAATTCCTTAAGAAGTGTACGATGAACAAACAAAAACGAAAAAGTGATAACTTCCTACCTGTAAACATGCTACCTTTAACTATAACCTTTTTATGATGTGTATTTATTAATCAAAATCCAAGACTGCTTATTATTATATACAGGGTTTTATTTGTTGAACATTGTTTGTGACCCCAGTAGCTAACTCCCCCATCTCATATCAAAACAGTGATAATTGTTTACATATTTCTTGTTGATTGCTTGTTGGACATGTTTGTTGTTGATTCCGCGTCGAGGTAATAAAGTCCTACGTATTTCTTGTTGATTTCCTGTCGAGAAAATGAAGCTCTACATATTACCTGTTGTTAAGTTGTTAAATATGCTTCTTGTCTAGTTTTTGTTGAGATAATTAAGTTCTATATTTCTTGTTGATTCATTGTTAGATATGCTTCTTATCGAGTTCTTGTCGAGATAATCAAGTTCATATTTCTTGTTAATTCACTGTTGGATATGCTTCTTGTCTAGTTTTTGTCGAGATAATCAAGTTCTATATTTCTTGTTGATTCATTGTTAGATATGCTTCTTGTCGAGTTCTTGTCGAGTTCTTGTCCAGATAATCAAGTTTATATTTCTTGTTAATTCACTGTTGGATATGCTTCTTGTCGAGTTCTTGTCGAAGTAATCAAATTCTACATATTTCTTGTTGATATACTGTCCAGATAATCAAGTTGTCTATATTTCTTGTTGATTCATTGTCGAAATAATCAAGTTCTACATATTTCTTGTTGATGTATTGTGGAGATAATCAAGCTCTACACATTTCTTGTTGATATTTTGTTGAGATAAAGAAATTCTAAATATTTCTCGTTGATTCCCTGTCGGATCTTGCACTTTTTTCATAAACTAGAGGATTACTACTGATTTGAAGTTAGTCTCTTTCTTCAAAACGAGAGCTCGCATGCCAAAAGAATTGCACAAAGCAAGAAGCTCTGTAGCTCCCGCTACGACCTTAAGCAATCTTGTAAATACCTGCACTCGCAAACTAAAGTAAAGTTTGAAAAGGAACCCATAACATCAGAAGGGCCAGGCAAGTTATCTGACACTCTCACCGCATGCCAAACCTTGTAACTGATAAACGGAGACAATATTAATGCATAAAATGTAAGTAAAGATCCCTTTTCACACCTTTTAGGCACATCCGGCATACGGGAAGAGCACCCATATTTTTACAAACCAATCAGCACTAGGTTGCTAATATGGTCAGTATCACCCCGGCCGTCTTGACTTCCCCAGAACATTCATCCTGTTACCCATTTTAGGCTGGGTCGACTAGCAGTGGGCTTTTATCGAGGTACGCTATCATGTAGCATCAGTCATTCCCATGTGGCTTGCAAATTTTCGTTTTCTGAAGCCCCACCCTGGCTTTTGCCGGTGGCCCTGAATATAGCTGGGACATAGTTATGGCCTAGCCTTAGATATGGTCTAACGGTTGAAAGGGTTTTTGTGATCTCTCCACGGTGATCCTCATCCCCATGTTGGCACTTTGTGTCACCGGGTGTTAATCGCTTGTGTGATGTCCTGGTGGTGTACAAGTCAGTCAGTCAGTCAGTCAGTTAAAATTACGAGTCGCACTCGTAACATCTAAGCCACGGACTCCGCTATGCAAAAAAATTAATATTTGCAATTTTCCTTATTGATGTTTTTTTTTAATGTGTTGCCTAATGGCTAACTTGTCATTTTGTTTTAGGTTGTCCTGTTGTGCTACTTTATGTCACATAGGGCACATAGGGCTCACAGTCCTTTTCTCCACTTCGTTCTGTCCTGTGTTGCCACTTTCATCGAAGGGATCAAGTCCAGCAGCTTTGGCTTCTTTCATCAACGAGTTTCTCTTGCACCTCCTTATTTGCTCAATCACTCTATTTCACATTTCAGTATCTGTTGATTCTTTGTTTGTCTCTTTCTTCTGTATATCCGTCTCGCCTTTGTCCTGAGTGTCGAGCGTCGGCTAGGTCCAGTTGTAATGATCTATCTTTGCCTCGGCCCTCACAACATCTAGCATGTCATTCATCAGTTCACCACCAAGTGGTTCAAAACCAACCAGTCTATCTGCCTACTTATTTTCCAACACACCTGCATGACCTGCATAAAATATGCGGAGGATGCTAACTACCTGGGATCTCTGAAGTGATGCAAGCAGCATATGACCAAAGAACAGTTACTCGTTATTGAACCAGACAGAGACAAATATTATACGTAATAAATCCGTGCTTGGACCAACTTTATTCTCATCTTACCCAAGGGTCCTTCTGAAGCTAATTAGTCTTAACAAAAGTTTAACGTCAATTTTAAAAGACATAGCCTGTGGTGTGTTAAGTTTTTTCTTTATACCAGTTATACTACATTCATTGCATACAGTCACCAATAAAGAACCTATACTGTCACCCAAACAGTCATCCATAGAGAACCTATACAGTCACCCAAACAGTCACCCATAGAGAACCTATACAGTCACCCAAACAGTCACCCACACAGTCACCCACACAGTCACACATACAGACACCCATACAGACACCCATACAGTCACTCATACAGCCACCCATACAGTCACCCATACAGTCACCCACACAGTCACCCACACAGCCACCCACACAGTCACCCATACAGCCACCCACACAGTCACCCATACAGTCACCCACACAGCCACCCACACAGCCACCCACACCGTCACCAATACAGACACCCACACAGTCACCCACACAGTCACCCACACAGTCACCCACACAGTCACCCACACAGTCACCCACACAGTCACCCACACAGTCACCCATACAGCCACCCATACAGTCACCCACACAGTCACCCACACAGTCACCCACGCAGTCACCCACACAGCCACCCACACCGTCACCAATACAGACACCATCACTTGATACGATTTAGATCAGGAGCAAATAGATTTTCTGCCCAGCCTATCCGGTTGTGCGAGGTAACGAGCAGGCCGATAGATTAGCTGCTCTCGTTACTATGAGTAGTGAGTCTCTTAATGATCAAGTGAAAGATGTGCAATCTCTCTGGGACCACAGACCGAGAATTTGTGCATTGAAAGAATAACTGTTCGGGAAATGAGTGGAATGTTACCTGGCGAACAGGTACTACTAGCCTGTCAACTCTTCGTTGGCTACTGAAGAAGGAGACCACTCACAAGTGGGAATTGCCCGAGTGCAGTAATGTTATTTTTGATTCGTTCTTTTATTCATTCATCCCATTTTTTGACATATCTTACGTTGAAGCAATTAATTATTTAATGACGAAACTATCGGTTTTTTTTTTACACTGTATTATTTGTAATAAAATGTGATTGTTTGTGAATAGATAATGTGATACCTTTGTCATAGTGATACATTCGCCCAGTGTTTTACATTCAGATTGTGAATAAACCACAGCTGTATGAGCGTCAAAAAGATGTTTCTGTTTATTGTGTGCCGTCTTCACAACAGAGGCTGCTGTGAATTAGCGAGCTGTTGTCTTTGGGAACATTACCGGGAGACGGCTCAATCTCTTTCACGTCGTTACTTTTTGTACCCCTGATCCAGAAACTGCAAGAACAGACTCATTTTAAAACGCCCAGTGCCGAAGAAGAACAGAAGGAAAGGGAGGAAAACCTGGAAGGAGAACAGTAAAATCCATTAGGAAATGTACGATAAACAAACAAAAACCAGAAAAAGGGGGCTGCGTGGTCTTGGGGCATGGTGTCCGCCTCGAGTGCTAGAGGTTCCTGGTTCAATCCCCGGTAGGGGCTGGGATTTTATTACGTAGACTTGGACTTTAGTAATTCCTTTTTGTCTCTGGGTAGTGAGATCGGACGCCCGTGTGCATTGTAAAATATCGGTTGGCA